AGGAGATGGCTGGCAACTGTTCCAGTGGTGGAAAGGATGGAGTTCCCGTTCCTTTGTGCTGTTTCTGTAACTTAGACACTGCTCTGCACACCTCATAATAAACCATAATTTCTATTTTATTTGGCTCCACAGATGGCGGGCGAGAAGGCAGCCAGTGAGAAAAAGCCAGGTGAGAAGGCGCCTGGTGAGAAAAAGCCAGGCAAGAAAAAGACGGGTGAGAAGAAGCCGGCTGAGCAGAAAGCAAGCCAGAGGGAAGTAGGTGAGAAGAAAAAGAGGATTAAGAAGTATCATGCCAGCCGTAACCCTGTCCTGGCCCGGGGCATTGGGAGATACTCCCGGTCAGCCATGTATGCCAGAAAAGCACTGTACAAGCGCAAGTACACTGCTCCAGAAACAAAGGTAGGACAGTAAATACCGTGTTTAAATAATCATGTTTTTCAGGATGACTTTGGTTTGCAATGTCCTACATTTCTCCTTTTCTTTGCTTACAGATAGAAAAGAAGAAGAAAGAAACGCCACGTGCAACCATCACCAAGCCAGTTGGTGGAGACAAGAACGGAGGCAGCCGTGTGGTTAAAATCCGCAAAATGGTAAGAAAAAGAAATCAGATGCTCACAGTTTAAGGCTGTTACGTGTAACTTCTGACTCGATGATGCGCCTCTTGGCTGGGGCAGCGCAGCAGCCTCAGCCCGTGCCATGCTGCACTGAGCTGTTGGCAGTCATCTCCTTGAGATACGGACCTAGTGATTGTCCTTCTCGCGGGAGACGTTGGTAATTCAGAGAATGGCTTCTCCTGCTCTACGTTTGAATCGCTGGCTGAACCGGGAGCGTGCTCGGAAATACAGAGCGGGTCTCGACTGCTGCTGTTGCATAGCTGTACAGAAAATACTCAATGTGTTCCTGAAGGGCAGCAGAAAAAAAAATAATCTTTTGGAAAAGTAATTTTTAGTGAAATGGTACGAACCATCTCATACTTCCAGAAGGTAGCAATTACTTTTTCACATCTCTGGTTTAGTCCCTTTATACAAAGGAGAAAATGTAATAAATACATCCCAATAACTATAACCCGCCTGATACCAACACAGTCCGTTGAACCGGTTATCAGTGGCTTAACTCCCGTTTCTGTTCAGCGACACGCTGAACTGCCCTGATAAGGTGGGAAATTCACTCCATGCCCTAGGACATCCAAGTCTCAGCGTGGAGACTGTTGTGCAGTGATGCCTGATCCCCTCAGATGGGGAGAAGGATATTTTTAACATCAGAAGGAGTAAGGGTGTGCAGTAACGGCTTGTGTGCTTGTTAGCCTTAGTTTCCGCCTTCTGGAGAACCCCAAATTCTGCAGGTATTCTCTTAGGAAAGGAGTACTCTAAACTTTAGTGAAAGCTTTTTGTCTGGTGGAATACAGGGTGGTACAATGTTTTGTTTCTCTTTTTCTAGCCCAGATACTATCCCACTGAAGATGTTCCTCGCAAGCTTTTGAGTCACGGCAAGAAGCCCTTTTCCCAGCACAAGAGGAGGCTGCGGGCCTCTATTACTCCGGGAACTGTTCTGATCCTTCTGACTGGTCGTCACAGAGGCAAGGTAATCGGGGGGGCTTCTTCCTCTTTGCTCTCACCGTGGCTTTGCAGCATTTCTGCGCTGAAACTGTTCTGACTGAGCAGAGGTATCCCGAATTTACCAGCTGATGTCAGGAGACACTGCTCAGCAGCGAGATGCGAATCTGCAAACCCGCTTTTCTGTGGATTCTGCCTAGATGCTTTCTCTCGTCCTGCCTTTAGGAGAAACAGTCCTTAAACTACTGTTGTTCTACACAGAGCTGGAATTAAAACAGGCTAGTCCAGTTGCTTAGACAAAATTAAGGGAGTCTTCCTGCAGTGCAGAAAAGTGTGTAGATTTGTGTCATGCTGACTGCGCTGCAGAATGGCAGACCTGATGCCTGTTCCTATTGCTGTTGCAATGAAACTAAAATTTTGTCTTAAACTACCTATTGCAAAGGAAAAATTACATTTTAATTCTTAATCTTATTATCGAGGTAACACTTGATTGTTACGCTAAGCTGTGTTGTTCATCTTAGTGAGGTTTATTAACAGGTCTTACCTGGCATCCTTTATTTTCTCAAATTCCTTGACTTTGATGTCACATTAGTTAAAAGGCTGCGGTTCAGGGAAGGAAGTCTTGACCAGAAGGAAAAAAAATGCAACTGGGGGATGGCTCTGACCATGTGATACATTGCGGTACCCTTCTGGGTGTTACCTAGTTCTTGCCTTTAACTTGTACAAAGAATTTGGGTGACAAGACGGCTGTCTCTCCATCCTGTAGAATGGGTTCTAATTGGTTTTGCTCGGCCTCGAATGATGAAGCATGAGGAGAGTCGCAATCTGTCAGAGATGTGGTAACTGGCAAAGCTGTAGTAAGGAAGTGCTGGTAGGGGGCTTGCTTCTCCAGTCACGCAGTTGTGTCCGCGCTTGGGTGCTGTACGGATGCTTGTACCAATGAAGCAGGCACGGTCCCCCTTTGGTTGTATTTCAGTGCTGGGGCCTGAGGACTAACGTCACATCTTGTCTGTTTTCAGCGCGTCGTCTTCTTGAAGCAACTTGCTACTGGCCTTTTGCTTGTTACAGGTAAAAACTTGTTGCATAAATGTGATGATTTGTTTGTTTTGGGGGATTTCGTTGGGGAGGTGTTAAGTTCAAGTTTTGTCTGCGGGGTCAGTAGTACTACAGATCCGCATGCGGATGGTTTGGAGCACGATGTATTCGTGTATCTAAGTGGAATCATGTTTTGTGGCTTTCCAGAGAGTTGGAGGGGAGGTAATTAAGCTTCAATACCTGGAAGAGATCAAGAAGCATTTTTTGGCTTTTCTGGAGGCTGTGGGGAAGGGCTTTGTTGATTGTTCAGATTTCAGCTATGGGCATCTCTGAAGGAAACAAGTCATCTCATACGCTACAAGAATTCAACTTAAAAGCAGTGGTTGTTTCCAGGAAAGCTAACCTTGTTCTCACTTCTGTCTTTAGGACCCTTGGCTATCAATCGCGTCCCTCTGCGTAGGGCCCATCAGAAATTTGTTATTGCTACATCTACAAAGGTTGATATCTCTGGAGTGAAAATTCCCAAGCATCTCACTGATGCGTACTTCAAGAAGAAGAGGCTGCGTAAGCCCAAGCACCAGGAAGGCGAGATCTTTGACACTGAAAAAGAAGTAAGAAACCTGATTGTTCATTCTTTCTGAATGTCCTTGTTATAAAGTCAGGCTGCAAAGGGGGTAATATCATGAAAGAAATGGACAATTGGATTTTAAGTAGTCCTCAGTAAAGCGAGGTAATGCTGTTAAAATGAATTAATAGAGCAACATTGAGATAAACCCCTTCTAAATTTGGAAATTCTTCCCTGCTTCTACCTTAGCAGAACAGCAGCAATGATTTTTCCAGTTA